TCTCTTCTCTCTTCTCTCTTCTCTCTTCTCTCTTCTCTCTTCTCTCTCTCTCTCTTCTCTCTTCTCTCTTCTCTCTTCTCTCGTCTCTCTTCTCTCGTCTCTCCTCTCTCTCTCTCTCTCTCTGTCTCTCGTCTTTCCGTCTCTCTTCTCTCTTCTCTCTCTTCTCACGCAGGAGGATCCGGGCAAAGAGCCACATATAAAGGACTCTTCACCTGGAATCGTTTGCCCCGCCCAACTTGTGCAAGGCGTCGTGCCTTCTGCTACTCCGTGCAGACCCGCTGCTACCAAAGCCTATTTGGCTTCGAGATGTATTTGTAAATCGTTCACCTGGTATCTAAAGCCACATTACACGGGAACAGGGAAATGGTGCTGCTCCTCGCTGCCCTCCACTTTCCCATTCTGGAGCGCTAGCTTTCGCCCCCCCCTTGGCCTCAAGTAGCCTCCTTGCCAGGAGCCCCTAGTAGCGTCCTTGCTCCTAGTAGTAAGGCCCAGGAGCCCCCAGTAGCGCCCTTGTAGCGCCCTTGCTCCGAGTAGTAAGGCCAGGAGGCCCTAGTAGCGTCCTTGCTCCTAGTAGTAAGGCCAGGAGCCCCTAATAGCGTCCTTGCTCCTAGAAGTAAGGCCAGGAGCCCTAGTAGCGTCCTTGCTCCTAGTATAGTAAGGCCAAAAGCCCCTAGTAGCGTCCTTGCTCCTAGTAGTAAGGCCAGGAGCCCCTAGTAGCGTCCTTGCTCCTAAAGGCCAGGAGCCCCTAGTGGAGCCCCTAGCAGCGTCCTTGCTCCTAGTAGGAAGGCCAGGAGCCTAGTAGCTTCCTTGCTCGCACTAGTAAGGCCAGGAGCCCCTAGTAGCGTCCTTGCTCCTAGTAGTAAGGCGAGGAGCCCCTAGCAGCGTCCTTGCTCCTAGTAGTAAGGCCAGGAGCCCCTAGTAGCGTCCTTGCTCTTAGTAGTAAGGCCAGGAGCCCCTAGTGGCGTCCTTGCTCCTGGTAGGAAGGCCAGGAGCCTTTAGTAGCGTCCTTGCTCCTAGTAGTAAGGCCGGAGCCCCTCGTAGCGTCCTTGCTCCTAGTAGTAAGGCCCAGGAGCCCCTAGTAGCGCCCTTGTAGCGCCCTTGCTCCGAGTAGTTAGGCCAGGAGCCCCTAGTAGCGTCCTTGCTCCTAGTAGTAAGGCCAGGGCTCCTGGCAGGAAGGCCAGGTGCCCCTAGTAGCGTCTTTGCTCCTAGTAGTAAGGCCAGGAGCCCCTAGTAGCGTCCTTGCTCC